TCTTCCTTTTGACAGGGTCACATGTAGCTCAGGCTGCCCTCAAGTTTTCTATATAGCCATGGGTTGCTTTGCATTTATGATTTTCCTTCCTCCAGCTCCTGAGGGTCCAGGTTACAGGTGTGCACTGCATGTTGCTAATAATGGAACCCAGGGTTTTGTGCACACAGGGTAAGCACACTGCCACCCAAGCTACATCCCCACCACGCTCTGTGCATTTCAAGTTGTCTTAGGTATATAGCCTCTTACATCTAGCTTCTGTTTGCAGCCATGCTTTTGAGGTTCACCCATGCCATGAGGTGTGGGAGGGTACCTTTTTCCTCTTGGGGAACTTACTATGGTTTAACCACACTCATGCCAGCCAGGGATACCCAGTAGCTGGCTGCAGGTGCTGTACTTTGCTGGGGCTCTGGAGTAATTTTGTCTCTAGGGGGCACTGAGCAATGTCTGAGGATATGTATTTTTTAACTAAAGCTGGTGGGAGACTATTGGGTAGAGACCCAAGAGGCCACTGAACATCCACCCTACAGCTCACAGGGACCCCAACAACACAGAATGATGCAGACATGGGGCCAACCTGTATTCTAATAGCCCTGGGTGAATTTTAGACTCTGCAGTCCCTTTGCTGTGAACAGCTCCAACGTTGCTTACCCAGCACACACAGCTACTTCAAGTCCCCTTGCTTTATCGGTAAGTGTCACAGAAGGTTGCCTTTCTTTTTGGAAGCTGAGTTCTTGGCAGGATTGATGGCATCTCAGTATGTAATCACAAGCAAGACTGTTGTCATCATAAAGGGAGGGGAGTGATGTCATTCCATTTTAAACACCCGTTTATAACATGTATATATTGTATTTGTGAGTTTGTGTCATGGCACACGAGTTGATTTCCTCCTTCTACCAGAGTCCAGGGACTGAACTGGGATTATCTAGCTCAGCAGCCTTCTCTTAGGCTCATGGCATTGTTTTGATGGCAAAAAAGCCTTCCCTGCTGTGTTCTGCAACATGGCACATACCCTGGCAGTACTTACAGAACCATCCACACCCTGGGAACACTATTTCATCCCAAACAGAAGTCAGATATGAAGAGATGAGTGCTCACCTAGCATGTTCAAGGCCATAGTTCCACACCCAGAATCCATAAACCTGGCAAAAGGGTGTTCACCTGTATCCCAGCACTAGGAAGATAAGGCAGGAAGATCAGAAGTTCAATGTCATTGTTGGCTACATAGCCACATGGAAACTCATTACCAGCATGAGCTATAGGACTGTCTCAAAAAGAGAAGAAAAGCAAGGAAATAAGAAGGGGGAGGGTACAACTGACCAAAACTGACCAAGGCAATTCTGGACTGTTTGCTGTAATCAAGTCCGCAGTGGACTTGTTATCATCCTACGGGGCTGAAGATAGCTCGGCTCTTCAGCTGTTGGGAAGACTTGTTATGGTCATATTTAGGCATTTTCACTTCTAATTACAAAAATAATACAATGAAAGCATTCCTGTGGCAGCTAGCCCACACTGGTCTTGTGAAACCAAGGCAGGAGTCATGTTGTTGTCAAGGAGCTAATGTATCCTGCAATGTTTTTCAACCTATGCGAATTTGTGACCCCATGATGTGCACCCACCCCTTTGCCTTGCTAAAGTCCTGAACACCTATGATGACTGCCTTCCACATGAACTGTTCTTGCTCTTATCTATCCCCAGGCAGCCTGGAGCCCTGAGTTCCCCATTCTCTGTCCAGGTCCTAACAGTCAATTATCTCAACAATTATTCTATCAACCCTAACCCATAAAAGAGACCTCAAAAGCCAGTGAGGAGCTGCTCTCTGAAATCCTGACTTAGGAGAAAATCGTCTGGCCAGTCCCTTGTACACTTTTAGTCAGACAGCTGTGGAAAATGGCTTCTCTCTCAGGTCTAACAGTACACCAGTAGAGGGCTGTGGGGGTCCCTCACACTCTGTATATAACTGAGGCCAACACTCACCCAGCCCAGCAAGCCTTTCCCACTATGTCCTGTTGTATTATCTTAGTTGTTGTATTACCAATAAAGACAAAAGAGTCAGATGTTGGGGTGAAAACATAATAGATCAAAGAAGAGATGGAAGACTGACCAGCTGACCTTCTCTCAACACTTCCCAGACAAAATGTTCTCGACTCTCCAAGTCCCTCCCTACTCCTCCCTGTGCCTTTCTATCTGTGCCCTGGGTCCTCCGTAGTCTTTATGACTAATTCCTGTTAGTTAGTCTCTGGTCTCGTCTTCTGACTCAAGGTTAACTTTATTAACACAGTCTCAGGGTGTCACAGTGAGATCAAATACCCTGCAACATTGTCAGGCCATGGGTGGGACTCTGGACTACAATGAGTAGCTAAAAGCAGTGAAAGCCAGGAGTATGCACAAGCCTCCTTCAGTTCCCACATCGGCAAGGCATCCTATCAACTCTCTCATGGGACTTGGCCTTCAGATCTAGAGCAAGCGGCCCTGTCCCTCCCTCCACAGATAGACACTTCCAATTGTCTTAAGTGGAGGCATGCACTGACTACCGTCAGACCCTGGAAAGCTGAATGCAAAAAATGAGAGCATGAAGTTAGAACAGCAGTGCGTAGAGAGCTAAGACAAATCAACCACACAGTGGCTCTCAGTGACCTAGGAAGGACCCTGTCATTATGCACCAGTGGTCACAAACAGCTGATCCTAGGCTGCAACTGGTGAGATGGCCATGCCACTGTCATCAGAGACACTCCACTGCCACATACACACCCCTCCCTCAAAGCTCATATAACAGACCCCACGCCCATGCATACATCTACACGCATGCACTCAGTAAGGCACACAAGGAAACATCAGCCAGACACACATATCCATGAGTGTCTTAGAGGCCTAAGCCACCCCCCCCCCACACACACACCAATTTGGCATGGGGTGAGCATTCTTCCTGCTTTAATTTCAGGCACGAACACAAAATGCAAATTACAGCTTAGGAAAGCATTCTCAAGTTCCCCCACCCCACAGTCCAGTCTTGGCATGTGCCCTCTTCTGCATTCTAGAGTCTCTCAAAGAAGCCAGAAGTGGTGATGCATCTCATCCCAGCACTGGGGTTGCGGGAGGGAGTAAGGTCCTGGCACTGAGTTGTGTGTGTGTGTGTGGGGCGGGGCGGTAAGGTCCCAGCACTGTGCTGTGGAAGAGGATAAGGTGAAAAGCTCCTTCCAGAGCTCCCTGCCACTCAGGCACTCTTTAGGAGCACATCTGAGGGGCCTCTTACAAGGGTGTGGTTGCTGCTCCCCCATAAAATTACAGTGGGAAATCATTACCACACAGGGGTGAGGTTTTCCCAGTATCCACACTAATGGAGACCCCCCTCCCTTACTCTTTCTGGGTCTCCAGGCCTCCCGAGACCATATGCAAACATGTAGTAGGGACTGGCTGGAGTGGAGTGTCAGGTGAAGGTCAACCGGCCCAGTTAAAATGACCTTCTGCACATGTGCAGCTGAGCTCCCAGGGATTGCAGTAATCTGGCTTAGTCCTGTACAAAGCGCCTCCCTAGGTGGAGGCCTTGGGTTCCATCCTTAGTAGTGAGAGAGGAATGGACTGGAAAGAACAAGGAAATGGCACCCTTGGGGAGGTGCTTTCACACCCAACCATCCTTGAGTGTCAAAGGCTTCCTGAATCAACCTCCTGGCTGTGGCCATGTCTTCCTTTGGTCTCTCTTCTGCAACAACTTGCTTCACCAGGAAACACCTACCTCTCCATGTATGCAGGCAGTGAACACCGAGGACAATTGAGTTCAAAGACCCTTCTTGGAGAGTCTGTGCAGGATCCCCACCCAGGGCCTTAGGTCTCAGACTCAGATGCTGAGGCGCCTACCTAGCATATCAAAGCAGGCCTGGCCTCCAGGTTCTCCACCTGTTACAGGGTATGGCTGGAATTCCCCACCTTCTACCCTGAAGACCAGCCCAGGGGCTGGGCTGTCCTTCCTTAAATAGTCAGACATTTTGGTTACCTGATCCCTTTTGTCTACTCTTTGGGCCTCCTGGCTGCTGTACCTGGACCCCTCTCTTCCTTCCCCGACCCCTCTGCTCAGGGTCATGTCCACTCTGGACTCTCCCAGATGTCCCTGCCTCTGGCTATGGTCTCCCACATATCTCAAAAAACCTTCTCCAACATACCTAGGAACAGTCACATCTGTTCCTTTTTATTTCTTGTTTTCATTTAGCCTCCATGCTGTTTTGGAGTGTGGTAAGAGGAACCCTAGGATGTATTATGTGTCAGCCAAGAAGCAGTCTGCCTATGTGGATCTCTGGATCTCAGGGGCCAGTTAATATAGACTACCCCCAAGAAACAGTGCCAGGAGAGCCTACATTCACAAAAGTATGTAGCCATCTGGCATTAAACTCTGTATAATATATATTTTTACAATCCTCAACACACGGCCCTTGTTTAGAAGACTGCATGTGTAAACAGTACCAGCCTGAGATCAATTATACATCGCAATGCCAGCCAAACTTCCAGCTGCATTGCCTTGAACTTGACCAAATTGAAGAAGACCACACAACTGAGATCCCATGAGCAAGAAAACAAGAACATAAATAGGGTTTCCATGGCAGTATACGCCACAACTGAATGACTTGATTCCCCTCACACCTTCCAACGTGAAGCTGTCACCACAGGTAGGAGAAAGGAAGGGGTGGCACCCTCACTTCTGGCTTGGTAACCCTCAAGTCCCAGCATCAAACAGTCACCCCAGTCAATGAACAAGGAGGGTTTTGAACAGAGAATGAATGAGGACAGCTTTCTTCTTGGCATCTTATTAAAACTTGAAAGCCGTGGCCTGCTGCCATCGATGACGCTTGTGGGCTCCCAACAGCCAAACCTTCAAATGCCACCGTTAGCAACGGTCATCTTGCTGTGACTGAGCATCCAGGCACCTGGAGGTGTGGGTCACAAAGGACTTTCTAGTGTAACAGAGCAACTTAAGATTCTTTGGGCAATGCCTGGAAACACAACACAAGGCCTTTCTTCACAGCAAGTGAACTGAATCACTCACCGAGTGACCAAAGATTTTATTTGTTTAAAAGCAGATAACACCAAAGTCTTATATGGTACCCATAATTCACTGCAAAAAAAAAAAAAAAAAATAAAATGATGTCCAGTGTTCCTGGATCATTGTGTGAACAGCTCAGACAATTGTTAGAACTGTATCTTAACCAATATGCAGTTCAGGGGTGGGCTGACTTCACACATCATTGTTTGCAGCAGCTCCTGCATGTGTTTCAGATGGCAACAGGGCCTCCTGTAAAGCTGGCTGGGCTGTGTCATGTTAAACATGACAGAGTGGTCACCCTGGAAGGTGTCCCAACATGCCTCTGGTACTGACAACCATGCTGGGTCCACAGAGCTCATCTCTGAAAATAAAACCATACTTCAGGCTCTCTTGAGGGTGCTCCAGCGTCTAAGCTCCCAGCATTGTAGTATGGGCTCAAACAGGGTCCCCTTTATTCCCCAAAGAAGGCCCACACAGACAAGGTTTTCAAAATCACATCAAATCCACTTGGCAGTGGATGAAATTACCTATTTGTTGAAAAGCAAAACAAAACCTCAGGAGGGGCAGAAGTACATGTCTAGAGATCTGGGTATTTGAAAGACAAAGACTGAAGGGCCACTTGAACCCAGAAGTTCAAGGCTGGGCTGGGCAACACAGCCAGACTGTTTATCAAAACTTAAAAAAAAAAAAAAAAAACTAAAAACACACCAGCAAATGGAAAAATGAAGGATGTATTAAAATTATTCTAGAAATGCCCCCTGCCAAGTAACTTCCACATGGGCTTTAAGAACAACAGGAGCTCACGGGATAGTGAGAAGAAGCCCCCCACCCCAGGAGTGGGGCAGAGCAGGAAGGGCTGTGACTAACCCTGGCTCAACTGTTCTTATTTTGTACTTGTGACCTTTCTGTATATGTCTGGTGGGTGTTGGCAGCCCTTCTGTGTACTTGGAAAACAAAACAAAAAACCTATGAAATTAAAGTGATTCTGAGAGTCAGAAGTCTGCAATTACAGAACCATAGTCTCTAAGGCAAGGTCTCTGCCATCAGGGATGAGGAGAGACAGATCAGGCTAAACAGTGAAAGTAAGGCAAACTGGCTTCTGGTTTTGACACTGCCACCAGGAAGGCCCACTGAGGAGGAAGAGGAGCCAGCCAATGGCAGATCAGCGGAGAGGTAACAGGATAACAATCACAGTTAGTTAGTGAGGGTGACTTGGGCAGGCAGTAAGCACTTGAAACACTCAAGGTCCATGTCTCTGCATGTGCAGGCCATAACTCCAAGCAGCACCTTCTGGGGTTTGGAGATCTGTTATTTTTTTTGACACCACCCCCCTCCCAAAAGACATGAAGATGGAGCCCATGAAGAGATGAAATCAAGATAGGTGCCTCTTCTGGGTGGGCTGGGCAAGGGTCAGGAGACTTCCGGTAGCATGTATCTACCATCTCCCCTATGGCTGGCCGACCAAGTCCTACAAGCGCTTGTAGGTGCCCAGGAGTGCTTTGCAGTTGGGGCAGTAATGGTCCACATCTTGCAGGGCATCTATGCAGAATGGGATGAAGCAGCAGCCAGCGATGCACCTGGGAGGGAGGACAGAGAGGCATAAGGAACATGTCACCAACACAGTTTCACACCCTTGTGTTGGAACCTCCCCAAGGGTCTTTGGTGGGCTAACCTAGAGATGAAGACCAGTATGCACAAAGCCCAGTGTTTGATACCCAATATCAGGTGTGCAAACCTATAACCCCAGCACTCAGGAGATGGAGGCAGGCATTCAAGGTTGACTCCGGGGCAGGTTGGAGGCCAGCCTTGGATACATGAGACCCTGACTCAAAAAGGAAGGGAGAGGATCTTTGCAAAAGCAATGAAGTATCTTGATACAGGGCCACCCTGGAAACTCTAGGTGGGCTCCTTAACCCAAAGATGGTATCCTCTCAAAAAGATATGCCAAACAGAATAAAGATGACAAGTGGCAGAGCCAGGCATGGGGATACATACCTGCCATCCTATCACTAGAAAGACAGAGGCAGGATTTTGAGCTCAAAGCCAGCCTGGGCTACACAGTGAGGCTCGAACAGCAACAAGACGTTGGCACTCAGGACGTAGTTCAGTGGTAGGGCACTTGCCCAGGGAGGGCCGGGCTCTATCCAGGGCATTAGGAGGAGCATTCTGGGGCTGTCGCTTAGTGGGTAGTGTGCTTGCCTAACATGCACAAAACCCTGGGCTCCATCCCAAGCACCCATAAAACCAGACATGGTGGTGCAAGGCTGTAATCCCAGCACTAGACAGGAGGATCAGGAGTTCAAGGACATCCTTGGGTACACTGTGACTTCAAGGCTAGCCTGAGCTACATTAGACCCTATATAAGAGAAGGAGGAAGAGGGTAAGATGGGGAAGTCACCATTATCTTAGATGAGAGTTGGCAAACTGCTTTGTAAAAGGCACAGGCCATGTGTTAGACATGTTAGATGGCTCCATGCCTGTGATTTTGACCATTCTTCAGCCCTGCCTGGCAGCATGAACATGAAGAATATGAACATGCAGAACCAATAAATGAGGCTGGCAGCATCCAGTCAAACTTAAACAGGAATGGCTGGGGTTAGCCTCAAGCAAAGCTGTCGTCAGAGTTCTCATGACTAGGAAATCCACATCCCCACATGACCCTCCTAATAGCCATCTTCTGCTCACTAATGGGTCTTCCTAGACCTTGGACCCATGGTGGGAACACAGACTACTGTTGCCTGTTCACTCCTTTCATGTGTGAGGTTCCTGCAACCCCAGACACACTGACCTCATCCTCACCACACCCCCAGGAGACAGATGTGGGTAGTCATCTGCCTGATGGAATCTGATTCACGGTGAGGTTGACCTTGGGCTACCCCATCCCCATTTCAAGGATAATAGGTAGTTTTAATATAAATATCTCAAAGCAGTGAAAGTCTCCTTCCTTTCTTTTTGAGACTCATAGTGAGGACCTCACTATGTAGCCCTGGCTGATTTGGAACTCCCTATGTAGATCAGGCTGGCCTCGAACTCAGATTTGCCTTCCTGAGCCAGCAAAGCTGGCTGCTTCTTTTTTTTATGAGATGGGGGTCTTACTAGATAGCCCAACTTGGCCTTGAACTTACATCTTCCTGTCTCTGTCTTCCAAGGCTAAGATGACTGATGTGTGCCATCAGGCCCAGCAGCAATCTGTGGTACTGGAGATGCAAACTGCCTCACATACACTAGTCGAGCTTTCCACCACTCTGTACTCTGGATTATCCCCAGCCCTTATTTTACTTTTGTTTTTGCAAACAGGGCTCATGTAGCCCACAGTAGCCTCAAATGCCCTATGTGGCAGAGGCTGAACCTGAACTACTGATTGTCCTGCTTCAGCCTCAGGCATGCTGGGAGTGCAGGTGTGTACAACTGTGCACAGCTTTCTTGTGGACACTGTCCACTCAGCTTGCCCAGGTAGACCCTGAGCTATTTCTCCTCCTGCTCACACCTAAGTGCTGGAATGGCAGACTGGTTAGCAATGAACCTTTATTTAAGCCCTTTTCTGCCCAGAGGATAGCTGTCAGAGTCCACAATGGAGCTGCATGGGAAGACAGAGAAGGATGAGTGGACAAGCCTGCATAGCTCACTTCTTCGCTAGAGAACAGAGGCTCGAGGGCTCTCCATCTTTGAAATAAGGAAGAACAATGCTGTCCCTTCCCCACCTAAAGTCACAAGCAGACAGTGAGGGGATGTGGGCGTGGGCCAATCACCTAGCAGCTGAGGTCCCTGCTAGTCCAGGAAAGAACATGCAGTCAGTAGTGGCTTCCTAAGAGGCACACAGGCCAGAAAGGGTGAGACGCCTGCTTTAGGAAAAACATGTCATTGCTTTTGCTGGGATTTCTCTCCCAGAGCAGAGATCAGCATTGCTTTCAGTGCAGACATAAATATTTAGGTAATCCCTTGCACTGGCAATGGGAGAAGCGAGGCTGAGGGGAGGCCTGTAAAGTGTGTTAGTGTACGGAGTGTTTGAAGCTTCTCCCAGGGTCAAGCAGAAATTATTATTTAGGTCATGAAATTCTAGAAGGAGAAGAAGCCCAAGGGTCCCCCGTCTGCAGATGTGAACAGCTGCTCAGTGGGTCTCTAGATGTGTTTGAGCAGAGTTCCCATCTAGAGGCATTCAGCTAATTTTTGGTGGCTGCCCTTCAGGAAAGGGCACTATGAACTTCTAGAAAGCTGAGACCAGGTGTACTGCTCCAGGCTTTCATTTTTAATTTTTACATCCATCCATTGATTGTATATATGCAAATACCTATATGTCATGTCGCAAATGTGAAAGTCAGGAGACAGCTTTCAAGAGTTAGGTCTCTCTATGTGGGTTCTGAGGATCAAACTCAGGTTGTGAGGCTTGAAGGCAAGCACCCTTACCTGCTGCTGAGTGAGATAAGATCTCACTCTGTAACCCAGGCTGCATTCAAAGTTTCACTCCAGCTGCCTTCACCTCCATCTGTTAGTGCTGAAATTACAGGACTCTGCCATGGTCAGCTTTCATCACCCTAAAACAGGCTGTGGTGTATACATAGGGAGCTAGCCCAGCAAGGTCCTGAGGTCCTGAGCTCTGGCCTCACTACCATAAAAACAAAAGAAAATTCCTACAGGTATCTGGGAGATAAATGAGTCAGTAAGGAACTTGCCTTGCAAGCATGAGGGCTTGAGTTCAATTCCCCTGAACCGCAGGGTAGAAGGAAAGAACTGACCACTGAAGTTGTCCTCTGACCTCGACATGTGCACACATGCACACACACACACACACACACACACACACACACACACACACACACACACACACACACGAAAGAAGAAAAAGGGAAGTACTTTTATAAATTATCTGTGAGGTAGTGAGGAACCAGGCACAATTGTACCAACTTGTAGTCCTAGAATTGGGGAGGTAGAGACAGAGGGGTCTCCGGAGCTTACTGTCCAGCTACCCTAACCTACTTAGAGGTCTTAGAAGAGTGAGCACTTGTCTCAATAGACAAGACAAACAGCTAACCTTAGCCTCTACACCCATGCATAAACATGTGCTTCCACACAAACACATATATTCCTATAATGCACAGGACAGCCCCTGCCATAGCTAAGTCCATAGTGGGAACCCTCCAGAGGCCACAGGGGTACACTCACCCCAGCAGACACAGACTGCCACAGGACAGCCAGGTGAGGGCGCCGGCATTGTAGGACAGCTGGGTCACGATCATCTTGCTGCAGGATGGACAGCACATCTGGACAGGTCGATCATAAAAGGAGACAGGCTGCTGCACATACACTGTCTGAACGGCAACTGAGGGTAGAAGACAACACTATTCAGTGAGAAGAAAAGAGCTTGATGTCAACACATGAGAACTGGGGTCACAGCGGGTACCTCAGAGCTCAGCCTTAAGGGAAAGAAGATTCTGGTAGACACTATGCTGAGTGAAATAAGCCAGTCACAAAAGGACAAGACCGGGTGACTCCAGAGATGCCTACAGGAGCCCACTTCAGCCAACACCTGAGGGTAGGTCGGGGGAGATGGAAGGTTCAGAAACTAACAGTGGAGGTGGACAGTGTGTGTCTACCTAACACCACTGAGCTGTACTTTCAAATAGCAGTTGATATTCTTCACCTTGGAGACATCTCTCCAGTCCCACAAGTATTATTTTTAAAATGGAATAATTAAAGTGGTTGATTGTTCCCATCTTTTTATGATGAGAATCATGCCTTTAAATCTGTGATCCTCCTGTCTCAGCGGCCTGCTCAGTTCTGTACTTACAAGAATGTATCACTAAACCATGCAGCCAAATGGTAGATCTTATGTCATGCTGTATCTGTGTGCATACACTGTTTAGGAAGAGGTGGGATGGAACATGGCCTGTCTATGCAGTTCTGGCTAGCCTGGAACTTACTACATAGATGGGGCTGACCTTGAATTTGTGGCAATCATCCTGCCCATGTCTCCTAAGTATCATGCATATTTTAAAACACATACACAGAAAAGAAAAAAAAATGACAAAAAGGAAACAGAAAACAGTGACAGATTTTCAGGCTTTTCTGAGGCATTTAAAAGTCTATAGAAAAGAGATGAAGGCCTTGTGTCCTGCTGGCAGCCCTGGCTTTCCTAGACCAGCTGTCCTGTGTGGTCCTTACTGAGTTCAGCAGTTCCCAGGGTCTGGGCCCAGAGGTCAGACTCAAGCATCAGCAGCAGGGTCCCCAAACGACTTCCTCAGCTCTGCAGACAGCTTTACTGAGTTGGTTTGCAGAAGATGTTAGAGAAGCAGGGACATGCTGGGTTCTAGGCCTGATTTTCTGCAGCCAAGAGTGGCTGCAGGAAGCTAAGAATAGGGAGGGTGAGGTGAGGATGTTCTGAAAGTGGTGACTGCCAACTGCCATGAGCCAGCAGTACAGAGTAAACCTGGGGGCTCTTGGATTCCTTCTCTGCATAGCTGGAGAGTTTAAAATATCCTCTGCATATTTAAGTGGAAGGAAAAATTGCTATTTGGATTCTTCAAGGCAAGAATAGTAGTATTGTCTACAGTACCTGGTGGCACTTAATGTACCCTCACCAACATTCCCCAACACACACACACACACACACACACACACACACACACACACACGCCATGACTCCTGGTTGAAGTCTGACACCTGATGATAATTTGGTATGAAGTTTACTAATTGGGAAGCATAAGCCAGGAAACTGGGCTGACACACGACTGAATACTTCTAAGAGCCTTAAGCCAAGGAGCAAGACACACATGGACATCAGGAGGTCCTGGAGCTGGGGGACTAGGGACTACCTAGAACCAACCTGCTGGCGCTGAGACCCTGCTCACAAAGCAAGGAGAAACATACTTCAGCCATACAGGAATGTGCAGTAAGCAATTTTCGTTTTGTTTGGGTCCAAGAATAAGTTATTTCTTGATCACAGGATGGTCTAAGAGATGAAAGAGGGTTGCTGACACGGGCAGCTGGCTGAGTGACAGATGTGCAGCCCCCAGGATTTCATAAATTAGACATAGTGATTCTTGGTTGCAATCCCAGCACTCATGAATTCAGAGCTAATAAAACCAGGGGTTCAAGGCTAGCCTAGTCTACATAGTGAGTTCCAGATCAACTAGTGCTACATAGTAATACCCTGTCTCAAAAGGTTAGTAGCTCACTTTCCACCCCAAGAGGTCAGAACTGGACACATTAACCAGTTTCTTCTTATCAGGTGAAGGCTCTGTGCTTGACTCAAGAAGCTAATTTTAACAGAATGACCCACTAACTCAGGGGCTTGCTGATGAAGAAACAGAGCCTTAGGAAAGTGAGTAAGGGGGATGGCGAAATGGCTCAGTCATTAAGAGCACTAGCTGCTTTTCCAGAATTCAGGTTCTATTCCCACCCCCACATGGTGGCTCACAACCACCTGCAAATCCATTCCCAGGGGAAACAAAGGCTCCTTGCCCTTCCTGTGTGTCAGGATGCAACATGGTGCATATACATACAGGCTAGCATTTACACACACACACACACACACACATTTTAGAGAACAAGGTAGATAGCTCCTGCGGTTGACCTCTGACCTCCACAGGTACACACACAAACAAAACTAAAAATGGAAGGACAGGGTACAGGCTCTGCTGGTCTGAACCAGAGGATTGCTCCCACAGATGGCTTTCATCAGCATTTGATGCTCAGCGGTGCACACACACACACACACACTCACACACACACACACACACACACACACACGGCCATCGATGACTCTCACTGACAAGGACTCTAGAGAAACCCTGCAAGGGTCCAGGCAGACCCTGCCCCAATGGAGGGTCAGCAGCTTTGCCTCCCTTTCTCACTCAGCACTGTTTCTGTTTCCTGTCCCAGCTGGCCGCAAGACAGTTCTCTATCCAGCCCTGGCTCTGAACTCAGAAACTCCCACTCTCAAGTTCTCTAGGGCAAGAGGTGGTGGCAAGTTCTATGAGCTCAGCAGGCATGTGGAGGACCCTACATATTTTGCTAGGGTTTTTGTTGTTGTAATTATTTGTTTTGATTACACTGATTATTATATGTGCGTGCATGTGGAGATCAGAGTACAACTTTTGGAAACCAGTTCTCTCTTTTCACCATTACAGTCCTGAGGAGCAAACTCAGGCTTAGCAACAAGCACCTTTACCCACTGAGTCATCCTATGTGTGTTTTATACAAGGAAGTTACAGGCCTCAACAATGGGAAACCAGGGTGGGGTGGACGCCACAAAGCTTGTCACTTGACTTTGACCTTGCTGCTGTCCTCTACCTCTCAGAGTCCACAGGCTTGGTGACTAAGGAGTTGCAAAGAGGACCTGGGTGACATACATACTTGCGTTGGCATTGGGAACAGGCACAGGCTGGGTATAGTATGAAGGCGGATTCATGCCCTTCCCATCCGGGCCTGTAATGAGTCCTGTGGCTGGCCCTGGCACAGGCGCTGGGGGCGCTGGGTAGTAACTGCTGACACCCACTGTTTCTTCATAGGTTGGGGGTGCAGTGGGCATTGCAGAAGGGCCTGCAGCTGCCTGGTAAGATCCTGGAGCCGACATTTTACCTAAAGCAAAAATAGAAGACACTGTAAGAAATTCACCTGATTGGGGGGGGGGTGGACATGCCTGAGACCCCAGTCCTGGGGAGGTGGAGGCAGAAGTTCAATATCTTCCTCTACTATCTAACAAGTGTCAGAGACCAGCCTGAGCCACTTAAGACTCTCTCAAAAACAACGCCGAACGAGACAGGGAGAAAGAAGGCATTCACATGCCCTCTGCCCATTCCACTTCCCCTGCCCATGGCCCCATGGCCCAAGTTTTTAATCTCTAATCTGGCAAACAGAACAACCAAGGAAACTGGTGATGGGAGATGTCATTCTGTAAATATGTTTCTTGTATTGGTTAATGAATAAAGCAATAGAAAAGCAAGATAGGCGGGACAAGGAGACAAGGAGGAGAGAGGAAGAAGTAGGGAGGAGATTCCACATGTAGGATAGAGAGAGAACAGAGGTCCGGGCCCTCTCTCTGGTAAGATGAGACCATGTGGAAATACTTAGATAAATAGAAATGGGTTAATATTTAAGCCAGAGCTAGCCAATAAGTAATACTAGTAACAGGCCAACAGCTTTATATCTAATACAGCATCTCTGTGTGTTATTTGGGGCTGGTGCAGCTGTGGGACCAGACCGGTGGGAAAATCTACTCATAATAAACCATCATCCTCACAAGGGACTTTCAAGTATAGACAAAAAGTAAATTATTAGCCCTGGATTACGGTGTCCCAAAACACATGGCATTGGGAAAAATCTAGAAGGGGATAGGAGGGTGTCTCAGGAGGCTGGCCATGCTCTCTTTTGTTACCAAGGGCTGGTTACATGGGTTTTTTCACTTTATAAAATCTCAAATCATACAACCAAGATTTGACCATTTATGTTGCTTTGTTGTTTTTGTTTTCAAAGTGAATGTGTGCAGGGTATGGTGCCCATACTCCATCTCCTCTGCACTGGCAGGAGAGGCAAGTTCAAGGACAGTTCAAGGTGCCCAATGAAACTGCCTCTTTATTTACTTTTAAAACCTTTATTTTTAATTGTGTGTGTTCTGTGCATGTGAACGCAGTTTCAGAAGAGGTCATAAAGTGTCCTGGAGCTGGAGTGACAGACAGTTTTGAGGCACTTGCTATGGAAGCTGGAACCCGAATGTGTGCTCTTCAAGCCACCGAGTCATTACTCCGGTGCTAGACTCCTTGTAAAGTAGAACTGCTCTTTCAGAGGACCCAGAGCCACATGAGACTCACAATTACCTGCAACTCCAGTTCTAGGAAACGAGTGTTTTTTCCTGGCCTCTGCAGATACTATACGTTTGATGCATAGACATATATGCAGGCAAAACACACAAACATCATTTTTTAAATCTTAAAATGAAGCATATTAGCTGGGGATATGGCTCTGTTGGTAAAGCACTTGCCTAGCATGCATGAGGCCCTGGGCTTGATCCCCAACATTAATATTTGTAATCTCAGTACTTGAGAGGAAGAGAGGCAAGCAGGAGGATTAGAGTTTAAGGTCATCATTCATTACATAGCAGTTTTGAGGCTAGCCTGAGCTACCTAGCAAGATCCTGTCTCAAAACAGCCCAAAAGTACACCACTGCTCATTTGGAAAGTGGAGCCCCAGGGCAGCTAGGGACACAGTGGCTTCAGTGAGGGAGAAGATTTTCTGCCCTTGGCGGAACTGTTGTTACCTGCCGGTCTGCTACCTGCCTGGAATTCTATTCTGCGACCCAGGCTGTGCCCTGGCCTCCTTTGTTTGGCTGTTTACCAAACAGACAGGACAGGCTCTGCAGCTTTCAAGCCGGTCTCAGGAGATACAGGCAGCCAGGACAGAGGGCAGCATACCAAAGCATTGAGACTGTAAGTCCTGGCACCTCCGTCCACAGAAACCAGCTCCTGTTCCAGAATGTGTGGGAAGCAAGGAGATGGGCCCTGTTGCTGGCCAGAGTCCATCTTTAAAAAGAAACTCTACCAGACCCAAGGAGTCTCTGGAAGTTTAGAAGGGCATACCAACGGAGGAAAAGAAGAGTGGGCACAAGGGGAACTGCTTGGTCAAACAAAATGAGGACATGCCATGACGGCCAGGTGCTTCACACCAAGCATGATGACCCAAGTTCAGTCCTTAAGACCTGCATGAAGACAGACAGGGTTCCTGCAAACTGTGCTCTCTGGCCGCCCTCCACAGACGTGTTGAGGTATGTGTGCCTGCTACCAACAGACAGATCAATAGATAGATCGATTGACTGATAGATGGATAGAAGTGTGTCCACCCCAATAAATAAATGAATGAATAAACCAATGTATGCCCAAGTTCCAGGACAGCCAGGGCTACACAGAGAAACCATGTCTGGAAAAATAAAAACAAACCAACCAACCAAACAAACAAAAAATGAACATCCAAAATCAGGTAAGATGTTGATGTAAAGTGAAGCCTAGATTTTAATAACTTACTACATAAATTTAATGTAAGAGTTCATCAATAACTTACACTGGCTATATGAGTATGGAATTAGTTCATTCCAGCTCCATCAGTGTCTTGCTAAGAGCATAGCTATGGGAGAACTTGAAGTGGTTCAAGATGAAGTCGCACCAGAAGCAAACCCACATGCAGTGCTGGGGAGCAGACACCGAGTTAGTTCTCCAGGAGGGCAGAAGGGGGTTTTAGAAGATCATAGGAGCGTGCTGTAAAAACCACTTCAAAGTTAAAAATAAAAACCAAAAGAATGAGATGGGGCCCAAGAACAGTTTGAGGAGCACTGTGGTTTTCCTCTGACAGGAAAAGAAAAGCCGAGAGAGGCAGGGCCACAGGCAGACCCAAAATCAGCTGATCATCTGCAAGATGACCCCACCCCCACCCCATCTGCTTGGAGCACTGATGCAGCTTTGCAGAAACTCCAGACAAAAGGAACAATGCAGTCACAGCTAGGTAGCCACTGACCCTTCCTGTCATAGGAGGGACTTATGTGAAGGACACATTGTCCTTTCCTGTTTCCCAAACAGCCAGCCCAACCCTGCTTCATAGACTTACTATGAAAATTAAGACACGTAAAAAATTACAAGACGGATTATTCAGAAATCCTAAAATTGTCCCTGGCAGAGGGAGGGGTGCAGTGTGCTGAAGGGTAAGAAAAAGAGTTGTGAAAACAGCCTGGGGCCACCAGCTGAGCTGACTCCACATACTTGGAGAGCCTTCCTGGTACCTGCATTTGGGTTTTGGTTATCGTGAGATAAAACTTCTATGTTGACCAGGCTGGTCTAGAACACATGACCTCCTTAGCTCCCCAAGTGCTGGGATTACAGCCCTGTACCACCACGCCTGGCTTTAATACTGCGTTGTAAAAGAACTGACCTTCAGGTTTTGGGGGTGGGGGGGTCTCATCACTTTCAAAGGGAGGAAGGGGATGGACTTCCTGGCCTGGAGTCAGGCCCCAGGCCCACCCACACACACCCTCATTAACTGAGTCACATTCACATGCTCAGATGGAATCTTCGGGAACACGTACACACATAAACACATTTATCCTTCTTAAAAAAAAAAAAAAAAAAAAAAAAAGAGTAAGGACCAGCAAATGGCAAATGGCTCAGACAAAGTGCTTGCCACATGGTGGAGGAAGTGAACTGACTCCTGTAAGTTGTCCTCTGACAAGATGTAAGTGTGCCTGTCCCTCACAAAATAAACTAATTATGTCTGTTTGTTTGCTAAGTCCAGCCTTGTAACAGCTCTGTGGCCCTGAGCTGTTGAGTGGTCATTCTAGTTGGGTCATGTGATCCTGACAGAATCTGGTTGCCATAGTTACTGAGAGCTGTGTGCAGGGAATAGAGCTGTCCACTCCCTTCCTCCCCATTGTTTAACTATCATTAAGATCTTTCTATTGCTCTTCCAGACTCACCTTTCCCCAGCATTCACTAAGGAACACAGGGAGCTGGAGAGTTGTCACCATCTAGGACACTCCTCTGTCCTTGAACAGACACGACAAGCCCAAATCTTGCTTGTTTGGTTTTTAGTTTTGAACACAGGGTCTCACTATGTAGCCCGGACTGTCCTGAAACTCACACAGATCCAACTGTCTCCACCTCCTCCACACACTGTTTAAAGGTTTGAGAACTGGAAATAATTTCATGGTTGGGTCACTACAACGTGAGGAAGCGTCTTAAACAGTCCCAGTGGTTGAAAAACAGTCGCCTGGAGAGTCACGCTTGACACAATGCCCTGCTGTGGCCACCCTAAATAAAATTCTTGCCACTTTTGAAGCCAGGCTCTGTATTAGCATGCTGTAGAGGGTCTGAGAGTTGGGGAAGCAACTCCTACCTTCACTGCAGACCAGCAAAGAGAACTGGAGTCTGGGCCAGGTCTGAGAATGCCCCTGTCCTATCCCAGCCCACCACTTACAATCCCAAGGCTCCATGTATATAGGTCTTAGTGATCTGCTTCGGGGCAGACATGGGAGAAGATGGGGACACACAGACCGATAGTCATATCTGGCCTGCAGGACTGTGTCTAGGAGGGACTCAGCATGAACCTGCTACAGAGAAGAGCTTCGCACTCAGGCTTGTTTTCATTACCACCACCCCATCCCAGGCAGAATAATCAAATCATGCTTAACTCAATTAATTAATTTAAATATAATTTAACTTCTGCCTAACAAGAGAAACTAAAATTAAGAAATAAGACTTTGTCGGGGAGAGTTGAATTTTGAGGGCCACACATACTGTAATAACTATGATTTTGTTTCTCACCCCCTTGCCATTATTTTCCTAGTTAGTGCACTCTTGAGAAGGCCAGCCTGTCCCTTAGCCAGGATGAGCTACCACAGTGCTCTCACAATACAATGTTACCCCTTCACTGACTGCACCTGGTTCTCCTTCCATCTGCTCAGCCCCTTCCTACCCAGTCCAGGGCAGTTTACACCACCCCTCTGCTGCTCTGGGGCCAAGCACACTGAGTTGGCCTGTGTCCACTTCCACCCTGTCCCTGGGCCACTCCCCAGTGTCACTATCAGGGCCTCTAGACTCATG